CTATTATTATTATTATTATTATTATTATTATTATTATTATTATTATTATTATTATTATTATTATTATTATTATTATTGTTGTTATTGTTATTGTTATGATTATTACCAAGTTATATAATAAGAATGAATTTTTATATCCTACATAACTTCTTAGATATAATACAAATATATATTCTTCAAATTCAGTCATAAAAAAATATACAGTAATAATAATAGGGAACAAATGATAATAAAAATTTCGGTCAATGTTTCCAAGAAATTAATATTTTTATCAAATGATATATTAAGACTATGCCGTCCAGTGATACACGCTGGTGTCACACTCGAAGCTGATAAAACAAATGCCGGCATCAGATGAAATAATTTCAGTTACACGTGCCGGACGTCACAGTTTAATGTACAATTTCATTTTAATGGAAATATTTAATTTGAACAATCAATTTTCTCTACAATGAATAGTCTATAACATTATTATCAAATAAAAGATCTAATTGTTTTAAATAAATATACATGTAACAATGAAATCAAATTGTTGTTGCATGTTGTATAATTGTATACATATATATCCAACATATGTTCTTTTTTATTATATTAAATCTATATTTTTATATCGACAAGTATTAACAATACAGAAATCAGAAATTTTAATGAGTATGCTCTTATTTATAAGCATAAATTAATTTACCTAATAGTGACGAACAATTCCATTATGAATTTATTAGGTCGCTTTTATTACGTTTTTTTAATATTGTGGTGTTAATCTTCGATAATGGTGATATCATCTTCAGGAGTGGAGTTGTTTAAATTTGTGGTTACATTTGTTTCGTTACTTATTAATGTATTTATAACGGTCTCTATAGCTTTTTTTACATTTATTTTTTGTTTTTCGTGTATTGTATCGTCCGTCATTGTTGTATATTCTTTTTCTAATTCTGTATTTATATTTGTTTTATTTGTTGGAATTTCCTTTATCCTAAGATTATTTGAAACAGGTTTAGAAATTGAAAGTATAGACTCTGCTTCCAGTGAATTATTCAAGGTTTTCGTTTTACTATTTTTTTCACGATTTCCTTGAAACGTTAAAAGATTAAATAATTTAGTGGATTCGTTTAAATTATTGGATGGAATTTCATTAATTAATGTTTCTGAAGTACTTGAAGAATCCGTTTCTATACCTATAAGACTTTCTAAAACAATTTCATTTGATGTATCATCTATTTCTATTCCATGATCTTCAATATGTTGCAAATAAAGTATAAATTGTTCTTCGTATTTGCCAACATGTTCACTTTGCATTGCTATAGATGGTAAAATACTGTCTTTAGTCGAAGAATCATTGTTAGATTTCATTAAAACCGAATGTCCAATTATTTTTTCATAATCCTTCGATTCAAAGTCAAATACTTGTATTGATTTATCTTTACAAACAATAGAAGAAGTTTCAACACTTTTATTAACCATCTTTTTCTTGTCAGAAAAATGTTTAAAAGCATTAGTTGAAAGTAAAAGTTCAGATAATTTAATAGTTGTCACATCTTCGTGGTCAGATTCTTCACAAGAATCTGCTACACAAATCATATCAAGTGGTATCTCATTATTTTCTTCAAATGATGATCTCCTGGAAATACTTTCCTCAATTATTTCACTCGTTACATTTTGAGATCTTTCCCAGCTATTGTAGTCTCGTATTACCTTGTCATTAATATATGCCATTTGGATAATGGTGCTGTAAACTTTATTATAAAGAGACCGAATTTTATATCGTGTTTCTTGTATACTATTCTTATTCGTATCTTCACTTTGTGTATCTTCAAATATTTGATTAAATTTAACTTTAAAATTATCCAAAATTTCATTAAATTGTTCTTTATATGGATGTAATACAGTTTGATCCAAACTTTCGTCGGGTTTCTTTAAAGTTGTATCCAACTCACGTAAAGGCTGTTCTATAACCTCATTTACTTGTATTCTATCAGTATTACAACTATTATCTGTACTCACGAGTGCTACAGGTACAGCTATTGTTGACGATGAATTAGCATTAACTGTAATATTATTATCAACAGGAGGCGTATTTTGTATATTTTGAGAATTCACCAATGAAATAGGCAATGGTTCATCAGAATCACTATCCAAATTGATAACATTTGGTGTCACCACCATTTTTATCATTTTTTTTGGTTTTGGCAGCAAGACTCGAGGTCTATTTAACACCATAGAATGTTTTGCACTTGGAATAGTTACCATTCGCGCTGTAGGATAATATGTAGTTTGAAATGAATTCTTACTTGAAACATGTGAAGTTAATATAGTTTGCATCGGTTTAAATACTGCTGTGGATTGCAGTAATTTTACAGTGGGCACTGCAGTGATGTTAGCATTATAAGTTGTCTTTACATTAGGTGCATCAACTTTTTCTTGAATGGTTTGATTAGGTCGTGAAGATAACTGATTTTCTTGTGTCTTCGATGGAACAGACAGACCCAATGTATTGCTTGGCTTCGCACTAGTGTTAGCAGTTTTTACACTTGGGACAGAACTTAATGACGTACTTACTTCAGGAGGCTTAGGACTATTTTCAGTGGACGAAGAACAACATTGTTTTATAGGTAACAATCTTGGAATACTTCCATTAGATATAGTTAATCTTCTGTGCTTGTATTTTCTTTTTAATACTCTTCGTCTTGTTGTTATTGGTTCATTATTAACACTAGGATCATATGTTTCATCTTCATCTTCATCTAGATCTGTAGATCCAGTTCTTTTGCGTTTACGTTTTCTTCTACGTGGACAACATTCACTCTCATCTAAATTCATTTTTTCTTGAAATTCTTCTGGAGTTAATGTCTTATCGTTTTGCAATATTCTACAAAAATATAAACAAAAATTAGATTTAAATATTTAATACGTAGAATACCTCCAATATTTATTTTCCTAAAAATTAGCACCTTGTGACTGTTTGTACGTGCTGTAACAAAGCCCAACATGTAGCCCTAGCACTGTACAAATCTGCTGGATTACAAACAAAACATTTCCACTTTTCATCGGCCTCAATTTTTTTTCTTACTAACGGATCAAAATTCCTCTTAATACATTTGTAACAAAAAGTATTACTGCAATAGGAACAACAATATAAATTGCCGCCATTTGCACACCACCTACAGAACATATCAGTAGCGTCGTCTCCTAAAACAATATCTTTATAACCATTTGGTATTGTGAATTAACAGGTGGTGTATAAGATATAGAAAAATATATATACCTTGTTCGAAAGTACCATCTCCATAAAATTCATTACACTTAGCGCATAATAATGTACGCAGCACAGGATGTGATAACATATTTTTTGCTTCTGCTGGAGCTGAGCCTATATGCACATCACATGCTGTACAATGAATTTTACGAAACCTTACTTTAGAAATATCTGTGGAAAAGTAATAAAAATTTTTTCATTATTAAATTTCTAGCAATAATAATAATATAATATTAATTAAAATTTGGAACATTGTAAAAGCAAACTAGCAGAGCTCTATAGTAATCCAATAATAATAATAATAATAATATACATTTTTTAAGTGAATAAAATAAATGAGAAATATAAAAATATTAGAGAAAAAAGAAATTTAAAAATCTTACCATTGCCAAACATAAGCCTATAGAAACCATTTTCTTCTTCAGAAATTGGCGATGGAGTAATGGTTATGGAAGGAATTAAATCCTTCGATGTAACTACAAAACGTAAGCTAGGTTAATCTTAAAAATTCACGTTGTAGGTTGTGACAGGTTGGAATTATTCGATAATCCTACCGTTCTTCTTCCTATTAACTCCTTTCATGTCGTCTCCTTGTATTTTGAGTATAGTTGAAATATCCATATCTTTCAAATCTAATATGAAATAATGTTGGCTGGGAGCCTTTCAAAACACATTCTGTAGCAACGCCATTTTCTTATGTGGACATACCGGCCCAGGGCCCGTCCAGTTCAACCGGTCCGCTATTTATACTTAACTCTCCTTATTTATTTGATTTATTTACTAATCGATTCAAAATTATTTTTATTTTAATTTTCTTCATTGAAATCTTTGATTAAATGAATATTTTGTAACCTCATTGAAAATATTCTTATTCTTGTCGTATCGAATCGCGTTGGATTTTAAACATTTTCCCGCTCGATATTACAACCAATGGCAGATAAATCGTTTCCTAGTTTAATATCGTTATTCGATTATTACAAAATCGATTCTAACGATTTTTGTAATAGTCATGTGATCTTCGATCGATATGAAAACTTCATACATAGCACTTCGGTTTACATGGGTATTTCGTGTAGTTTTTAAGTGAGTATAAATATAGAAAGTGTTTCGTTGCGATGGCGGGAAGGTTTATTTACAAATGGCGTTTCATCGGTAGCAACATGATGGTCTGATTATCTAAAATATTTAAAGAAGAAAACGATGGAGGAATCTAAGGAAAATTTCATTGAAAAATCAGCTGAACGATTAACCAAAAATGTACAGAATATGGCTAATTATCGAAGCCTTTATAATGAAATTCAAGTAGGTATTGTACTCATATACTACATGCATCAATTGAATTTATTATTTTAATTGTTTTTTTTTTTTTTTTATTATTTTCAGAGACTCGTTGCTTCGACTGTTGTAAAAAAAGATGATTTTAAAAATACTCTGATCGATGCTCTCAAAGTAAATGGATTAGAGACTGAGCTTAGAAATACTGTGTTTCATTGGGTACGATCACAGGTACATTTTTATTTATTAATGTATGCATTCATTTTTATTTTTTTAAATGGGTTATTTTGTTTACACGTTTAATATTTCATTGTTAATATTTTTATACAATTTTTATTCAAGTAGGATTCGTTGAGATCGAAACCAAAACTCACTGAAAATACTGATTTAACTTACTTGAAAAAAGTTCAAATTCAATGGGAACGTCGTATTCAAAAATCTTTAAATTCCATGTGCATTGAATTAAACGTTCCATTAGCTCGTATAAGACCTAGCGCAGATAGAGAAGAACTTGCTGAGAAATGGAACGAACTTAGTACTTACGATATTGGTAAAAAAAATAATAAAAAATTGTGTTTTCATAAATAATTCATATTATTTTAATGTTAATAATTAAATTATTTGCATAGATCTGTCTCGATACAGGCCATTGTATGCTCCGAAAGATTTTTTAGAAGTATTGTTTTCTATACGAGATCCAGCGTTTAAAAAACATCCGTATGTATACATAAACAATTAAATAAATAATATAGTGATTAAAATAAATTTTGATATTTTTTAGTGAGGAATTAAATTGGGATTTCAGTCACATACAAATTCGTGTAAGAACACTTGCAGAGCTGGTATGTGTTTTTTTTTATTAACATCGTAAATAATTGTGCTACCAATATAAATAATATTTCATAAATATCGACAGAGATGCTTGTACGTCGAACTAGCTCAAGGTATGCCTTTGCTCGGTGTTAATCCTGATATGCCAGCTACAGGAAATTTCTTAAATTTAGAAGCCGAAAGAACTCATATAGGTGAAAAAGTATTAAGTACAAATTATGTGCCAATCGCACAGGAATTTTTAAAGAAAGGAGCACCACGTGCTTTAAGAGGACGTCTTTGGTCTCTTGTTTTAGGATCAGCCATTAAAGATAATGTATGTAATATATGCATCTCTCAATAAAAATTTAAATATTTGTATTAAAAAAAATCATAATTTCACATATCATAGGACATCGAATATTACGAGGAATTGAAAACTATGGTCTTGCAATATGACATTATTGTTGATAAATTAATTATAAAGGTAATATTCTATAATTAATTTTTAAAAAATTAATTACGTCAATTATGGTTTTTATATTTTAGGATGTACAATTAACAGCGAGTAACGACGATCAATATTTTGTTTTTGAAGATGTTCTTTATAAAACGATGCTGTGCTTTTCAAGGGACTCGGAAGTATTAACTCCGGTTACTACCGACAGAAGTGCAGGTGGTCAAGTGATACATGCGGTTTTACAAGGGAAACCTGCAACCCTAGAAAATACTTTAGTATTCCCTCCGAGTGGTGTAATACCATTCCATGGATTTACTATGTATGGTAGGGAAATTAAGAATTATTCATTTAATTATTTAGAAGATATTTGATATTTTCTACGCGACCCATTATAATTATAAAAATAATATTTAATATTTTATATGCATAAAGTTATTCTTTTTTATTTTTAAGCTACTCCATTCTGTTATTTGTACGATGACCCATGTATCATGTATTATACATTTCGGGCATTTTATTTACGTTATTGGTTTCGTCTTCACACAGTCTCGAGTCACGAGCAAGGTATAGTTGCATTATGTTTATTATTTGAAAGATTATTGCAATGCTATGAACCTCTGTTATGGGCCCATTTTAAGAACATCCATTTACAACCGTAAGTTTCCTATATCTTTTATTTAATTATTATATTATATTTATTGTGATATAATTTTTTAATTTAATTTTATAGAATTAAAGTAGTATTCAAGTGGTTGATGAGAGGCTTCAGCGGTTACTTACCACCCGAGCAATTATTATTTTTATGGGATTTAGTATTGGCATATGATTCTTTAGAAATAATAGCTCTTCTTGCAGTGACGATTTTAAGTTTTAGAAAAGAAAATTTGATGCAGGTCAATACTCAGCACAACGTTGAAGTAAGAAATCAATATGGATATATCTCTGACAATTACAAAATAAATCAATGTTATCATTCACAAATTATATGTTTTTTAGGCTGTCTTAGCAGATTTATCATCGTTAAAAGTGATACCTTTGTTACAATTAGTCTTATTGAAAGAATAATTAGATTGCTTTAATTGAAATCGAAAAAAACTATTGTCTAGCTTGCGTCAAATTTGAATGACTTTCGAAACGCCTGTAGATCTGCAACCCGTTCTACATGTAAGCGAAAATGCATATTTTCAAAAACGCCAATAACTTTTTTTGATTACATTTGATTAGAATTTGTAATGAATTAGTATTGATTATAATCATGTAGTATACATTATTATGTACATACTGTTTTAAATCGTCTACGTTGACAAAAAGAACATATGTAAGTTTATTGAGAGGGGTGGACATGCCTGTTTCCGGCCAATGGAACACGATCGAAACTACAAGCTACGCTCGCACACGTAATCGTATAAGCAGTCATTATGACGTCATCGTTGGAATCGTACAATAAAACAGTTTAAAGCAATTAACAATTATCCTCGTTTATGGCATAATTTGTAATAAGCAACGATTAACACATAATCATAATAATTTAGATATATAAAAATTTATTAATCATTTTGTTTTATTCTTTAGTTTGATTTAAATATAAAAATAAGATAGTATTTTAAAAAATGTATAAATATACATTTATGTTAATGTATAATTGAATTTGAGAAAAGAAATTATGTTAAAATCTGTAATAATATTTGTATCGATGTGGTCGATTCTCGAAAGTAGTGTAAGTTGGATGACGTCGATTCTCAGATGCGCGAACTCTCTGTAAAAAGCTTTGTACTAATCGAGTATACCCTGTAGTGTTCGTGCGATGCACGAAAGCAGAGACGCCTACTACTTGCTGTCGCCAATTGTGTTTATATAGTCGTACTCTAAATATCCTATCATTTCTCTATCTTCTTTTCATTAATTTCAAGTGATAATTTGTCGCTGAATTAGTGTAATAATCGATAAATTGTAAGTAATAGTAATTAAATATGTAGTGTGAACGTGTTAAAATCCTTTTTTTTTTAAATGTAATAGAATATGTCTATGTATATGTACGTGCGTTCTCTCTTACCGTATAGAATTGTAGTTATTAAGGGTGGGGTGGTTTTCACCCCCAAATTATTAGTCATACTCAAGTTTGTGCCACTGGCTGTCGTCCCCGGTTCAGCGTTCTTTACAAATTCGATTACCGTCGAATTGACGTTTTAGTTTTATCTTTCTGGTCTTTCAAACTCGATAATGAAAGTGGTAATAAGTCTTGTTAATCATAGCACGTCGATCACCGCCCATTGAAACAGGACGAAACATCTGGATAGTTTGTTTTATCAAATATATCATAAATATATGTACTTCCGCTTTTTCTTTTCTTTTTTTTTGCCTAGATAATAATGATCTGTGAACTCATAGACAGATATATATATATATACATATGTATATACATATACTTATATACCTATTATATGTATATATATATATACATATATATAATAGGTATATAAGTGAAATTAAAATACTTTTTCAATAAAATAATTTTTATTCTCTTTCATATTTATTATTTTTTCTTTTCAGGCTTGCATTATTCCATAAGATTACATGATTTAAGAGCAATTGAAATCGAAGAGAATTCAAAGATAACATCACAAGATGGCTTGGCGTTTCAAAGCATCAAAATATAAAAATGCTGCACCTATTGTACCTAAACCAGAAGCATGTATTCGAGATATCTCGGTAGGATCCTACCAGACTTATGGGAACAATATTACAGCTTCTGCTGCATTCATGGCATTTAACGTGGATCATAATGGTATTTTCGATGAAAATAATAGTTATTATTATATATTTTGTGTATATGTTTCAAATACTACGTTATGTATTTCTTGTAGGATCTAGTTTGGCTGTATTACCACTGGAAGATTGCGGAAGAAAAAGTAAAACTATGCCATTATTACATGCTCATGCTGATACTGTGACCGATATGGAGTTTTCACCTTTTCATGACGGCCTACTTACTACCAGTTCCCAAGATTGTTTGGTAAATTTAGTGAATTTGATTAATGTTATATATGGTATATTTTTTTATCTTTTTTCTATAACAATAATATTATTTTCTTATCTATTAGGTAAAGTTGTGGCATATTCCAGAAACTGGATTAGAAGAATCTCTTTGTAATCCTGAATGTACATTTTCTCATCGTCAAAGAAGAGTAGAAGCAGTTTGTTGGCATCCAGCTGCCGAACATCTTTTAACAACTGCCTCATATACGACTTTAACTCTGTGGGATGTCCTTTCTCAACAAGAATTATTTTGTAATAGAAACATTTTATTATGATACAATTATAATTTTATTTTACATACAGTAGTTTATTTAAGATCTAAAATATTTTGTAATTGTTTTGCAGCTAACAGTGATCATACCGAAGTAATACAATCATTAAGCTGGAAACAAGATGGAACTATTTTAGCAACATCTTGTAAAGATAAACAAGTGCGAATTATTGATCCTCGTGCATCAACTTGTGTTGTTAATTCATGCTCGAGTCATATGAGTATCAAGGATTCTAGAATTGTATGGTTGAATAACTCTGACAGAATATTAACTACAGGATTTGATGCTGCACGTCTTAGACAAGTATACATAAGGGATTTGAGGCATCTTAACGAACCAGTTAAAACATTGGAATTAGATTGCAGTACAGGGTATGAATTAATTGTAATTGTAATTAATCAACGCATAGAATAGCTATTCAAATTTAATATATTTTGTTTTAGGATCTTAATGCCTCTTTTTGACCCCGATACAAACATGCTATTTCTTGCGGGTAAAGGAGATACCACTATCATGTACATGGAAGTTACGGATAAAGATCCTTACTTGGTAGAAGGAATACGTCACAGCGGAGAACAAACTAAAGGTGTGTGTTTGGTACCGAAAAGAGCACTCAATGTTATGCAGGCAGAAGTCAACAGATTATTGCAACTCACATCCAATATGGTTATTCCCATCATGTATCAAGTACCTAGAAAGGTAAATAGTATTTTCATTTAATAAAATACAGAGCACATTCTATTATATATTTATTTTAATTTATTATACTTATTTTTTAGACATATAGAGATTTTCATGCTGATATTTATCCTGATACTAATGGTTCTGTCGCTCAAAATAATGCAGCAGCATGGATCAAAGGCCATAATGCACCTGTTCCAAAAATATCGTTAGATCCTGCCAAGAGAACCAAAGGTGAAGACCCCATAACTGTAAGTAAACATTTTTCCAAATAAAAATCTATGTGTCATTTAATAAATTATTACAAATAAATTGTAGATTATATATTTTAAGATTTAATGCCATCTCATATTGTATTAAGCGTTCATTTTTTCGATATACGCACGTTTTTCAATGCTTCTGTATGCCTGTACTTATATAGCAAACAAGAGATAAGTGCTGACAATTTAATTACATTTTATAGAAACACATGCTTTTAGAAAAATATTATAAATATTGTTGAATGTTTTTTGTCAAATTTATTTGTTTTTTTTTTGTTTTTTATTAAGAAAACATATTTTTTGTGTTTGCTATATACCTAAATTATTTTGCTGTGTGACTCGTACCTCTTGTATAATTATTTATAATATATTTATTCTTCATATATATTGCAACATTCGTGTAAATGTAGCAAGGTATTTATTTGTAAACTATATCATGCATATTATGCATATACTCAGAAAAAGTATTATTTTTTAATATATTTACATTGCTATATTTACAGTATTAAAAAGTATTTAAATATAGTTTAGGTATTTCAAGGATTAATGGACATATATGTATGTATGTATATGTATACATATATATATACATATATAAATGAATTGTACTTTCCCAGAATATGCATATGTCATTTTTCTTTTCTTTCATTTCTCTTTTTATATTTTTTGTATATTTTTCATATTTCAGATATCCAATGTATATTTTATAGTTAATACATTAGCACTATTGAAAGTGTTATTCCTGGCACGTGTAATTGTAATGGCAATTGATGTTCTATAGCTTAATCTATCAGCGTAAGTAATATTAAGTTCGCGTAAAACTAAGTTATGTATTTTTTATGATTTTCATTATTTTCTATATGCTCAAATACATACATAGAGTAGTTTGATAATATATATATATGAATTAGATTAGTTAGTACATTTTATTTAGTTTCTGTTACGAAGTAAAATAGATAGAAGTGTTTTTGTGTGTATGTATGAAAGAAGCTTGTAGATATTATTATTATATATATATATATTTATATATAGTATATATAATTTAATATAAACGCAAATTAGAAATTATGCAATTGGACATTCATACGTGGTTTGACTAGTTTGCGTCATTAAGGAATTTACCGTACCTTTAGGTACACAAAGGAAATTTAACAACACTTAAAGAAAATCAACATGAAATTAAAGTGGAATCAATCAAGTCTCCTAAATCAATAACTATCGCAACGCCAAAAGGATTTTGCAAAGCTCAAGGTATCAACCACGAAAAGGAGAAGAACTTAGAGAATGATATCGAGAAGATCGAAGAAAATAAAAAGATAGAGATAGAAGATGAGAAGATCAAAATGCAGAATGGTGGACAAACAATACCACCAAAGCCTTTACCCAGGGCATCAAGAACTAACAGCGTTTCCGAGGATGAACCTAAACCCGTAGCACGACCGCGTACATCACCAAGTCCAGGATCCGTCGTTACGTCTGTCAATCCAAACGCAATCAGCGGATACAAGGTTGTAAATTAGTTACAAAAGAAAAGAACAAAAAAAAAATCAAGCACAGGCGTTTATTTTGTATGTGTGATTTCGGTGTGCGTTTTCATCTTTGCCATTTCTTTTCATATATCATCATATTTTTATAAACACATTTTTTTCAAACACTTATAATATATTTTAATTGTTAATGACTCTCATATCATAATCATATCGTAATCATATTCAAATTATTATGATTTCGCATCTGCAAATTATAATTTATTTTCTTGTAGTATTAATGAAACAAATTGTTTTCTAATGTTATTTGTAAAACAAAGGATCAATATATAAATATTTTTTCTTTCCACAGCCTCGCCTTGGACCGAAACCATTTCAAGCAAAATCTGGTAGTCAGGAATTCTCTTTTGACAAGGTCTTCTCTGTGCCAGTTGCACCAAATAATGATACAAATGGTTATCCAAATGATATTGGTATCCCGATGGATAATGCTACCGATCCCGAGAAATCACCAACGTTTTCTAATGAACGTATGAAGGAGGCAGAGAATGGAAAAAGTGATTCTAGTTCATTGGAAGAGGATGCGAATTCAAGCGACTCTGGATATAAACCTAAAACCCCAAGCACGGCAGAGAGGCGAAAAGTTTTTGAAACTAAAGTTAAGGATGAATCGCCTGAGAATGAAGACATTGGCGGTTTTGAACGTGGTAATGTTAATAGAAACTCAATCGCAGAAAGGCGACGTTTGTATGAAAGTAGATCTGTATCTGTAACTGATGGAAATTTAGCCGAGAAAGCAATGGGATCGCCGACGATGTTACGAAGACGAGATTCTTTCAAAACTAAGAGCGAGGTAATTAAAGAAGACGACGTTAAGAAAGTTGTACCAATGTTGCGCCAACAAAGTATGGATCCACGCTTGGAAAAGGTTGAACCAATTACAACACCAACTCCTAAAAGAACATCCACAGTATTTGGTATAAAATCATATATAAAATAATTTCAATAATATATATATATATATATATTTATATTATATTAATATATTAAAATATTTTAATGTTATATTGTATATAAAAAAAAAATTGTAAGTATCTAGAACTAATATTTTTATTTATAGGTCGTGTATCCAAATTCAGACATCTTAAAGGTACACCTGGTCATAAATCAACTCATATTGAAAACGTAAGAAATATTAGTCGCCAGATATCAGGAGAATGCGATGGTTTTCATGGTATGTATGTGTTTAAAAAAGAGATAGAAACTTTCTTATTAAACAAATCTGACGAGTGTAAAATCAATTGTAGCCAATTCCGATCGCGTTGCTGTACCTCTGAGTGGACCTGGGGGAAAAATTGCAGTATTAGAATTGAAGAAAACAGGTAGATTACCTGATGGTGTTATGCCAGCATTAGTTCATGGAGCAACAGTGATGGATTTCCAATGGGATCCATTTAACAATCAGCGATTGACAGTCGGTAAATTAAAGAAAACAAATTCACCTAACATCTAATAATAATAATAAAAAATCTTTGATATATATCATAATAATTATTTATTATTCAGCATGCGACGATGGAATGATCAGACTATGGGAAATACCAGAATCTGGATTAGCAGAGCCAACGAATGAACCAAGTCATGTAATAGAAGCACATGCTGATAAAATTTATTTAATAAAATATCATCCATTAGCATCCGACGTACTCGCATCAGCATCGTACGATATGACAGTTAAACTTTGGGATTTATCACCTTTAACATCAGGAGAATCAAATCAGTTATCAAAGATAACATTGTTAGGACATACAGATCAAATATTTAGTTTAGCATGGTCACCATGTGGACAGTATCTTGCTAGTGCATGCAAAGATGGAAAATTACGGATTTACAAGCCAAGATCCAGTGACGTGCCTATAAAAGAAGGAAAAGGACCAGTAGGTACTCGTGGTGCAAGAGTTATATGGGCATTGGAAGGCAGATACCTTGTTGTAATGGGTTTTGACAAGTATGTTGACACTTCATTCATTAAATTATTTCATTTTGATATATTATGTATAATATTTCTGTACTATTCTATTCTTTTAGGGTCTCTGAAAGGCAGATAATGGTATTTAAAACTGATAATCTTAATCAGCCTTTGAATACAGTCGGATTGGATGTTTCTCCTGCGATTTTGATGCCATATTACGATGAAGATAGTTCAACTTTATTTTTAACTGGTCGTGTAAGTTATTCTTCCTTTTTTAAATTTTATTCAGATTAGATCATAGCTTTATCGAAAATATATTTTTAGGGCGATTCTACCATATATGCTTACGAAGTTACGGAAGAAGCTCCTTATTGTTGTCCTCTGAGCCATCACCGATGCAGCAGTTTGCATCAAGGATTATCATTCCTTCCTAAGAATAGATGCGATGTCGCAAGCGTAGAATTTGCGTCTGCTTTAAGGCTGACAAATAACACTATTGAACCATTAAGTTTCACGGTGCCACGTATAAAGGTATTTCGAATATTTCTGATAATAGGTGTACAACTTTGCTTCCGTCGTTTTAAACAATTAAAATTGTCGTAAAATTAATAATTAATATAATATTTAGAGTGAATTATTCCAAGACGATCTTTTCCCACCAACTAAAATTACATGGAAGGCAGCATTAACTGCCAATGAGTGGTTCAATGGAATTAATAAACAGGCCTCTAGAATAAGTCTTAAACCACCTGGTATGGATAACTGTAAGTATAATTATTAATTTGTGCAAATAATACACACACGCACATTAATTAATAGTATATAATAAATATAATTTGATATCTATAGTAACAGAGAATCAAGGACAACCAGCAGTTACTGTGCCATCTGCAACAAAACAATCAACAGGCCCATTTTCAATCTCTTCGCAACCCTTCAGTAGGCTTGGTTGGAACACAGACGTAAGAGCAAAGCAAGAGGAGGTAAATTAATATTATTATATTTATTATTATTATTTTCTGCATGTGTATAATTTTTTCTCTGAGAATCACACATTGAAGAATGATTTATATTAATGATAGTAGAACCACGCGTAGAAGTTATGTGTGTTTGATATAGTCGTGAAAGATTACAAGCATGCTTTCAAATGTTCACTTTGACAAATGAAGATATATGAATATTGATAAAAAATACACGTATTTACTTTCATCTCACATATCGAGCAAATATTTTTTTTTAGTTATATTATGTGTCTCAGTGTATTGCATAATGTGTGTGATGTGGTAGATCCAAAAAACAATGAGCAACAATGTGGGGGATGTAATACAGTGCTCTTTGGAACAAGACCACATGGAGGGTGTGGAAGAGCACGAATGGGTAGGTTCATCATTCGTTGTTATGCAGTATTAATTATTTATTATTATATTTCTTGATTTGCTCTTAAATTATGCATCTTATTACGTTTCTTTTTTATATTCAGTATATTACAAAATTGACGAAAAAAGAACAAAAAAAAACATGAGTTTATTTGAATATATATATTTTGCCTTGCTATTCTCGAAGGAGACTTGCCACATTTGAATTGATTTATTAGAAGTTATTATTATATTAGTAATTAGTTTTTGGCTGTGCTATTTCTATGCTTTTTTTTTATTAATTCCAATTTATTCTTTGCTAATTCATTTTCTATATCATTTCATTTTTCATCTTTAAATATGTTATATTCTAGTATAATGGCACGAAATTATTTTTTATATTACAGGATGAGTAAGGATTAATGACGTACTGGTAGAGTATTTTAACTAAATGGTAAGATAGGATCTAGATATATAGAAATTTGAGCCATAAGTTATTAATTATGTTGAGAATGGAGGCAGGGGATGTGTCCTAATGTTACTACATGCTGGGCAGAAGAAGTTTTACATTTTTGAGAAATACTTCCAAAGATTTACCTTCTAAGAGCAAAAAGAGACAAAACGGGATGGTGTCCAATTTTTTATGTTTCGAACACTATTACGTATTTTTTAGCCATTTTATATACGAACAATTTTATAAACATATAAACGTAAAAAAATTCCGCGAAATAGTGTAAATATTCAGGCTTTGTATTTGAAGTTTAAAAAAGAAAATGGAAAACACGAAGAAAAAAAAAAAAAAGGACAAAAAAAAAAAAATACGAAGGAACCGACTGAAATTTTGTGAAAGTCACAAAACTACACGAAACTTTTTGTAAAACTCTTAAGGATTATTGATGGATTAATATTTCTGTTCTTTTTGTTTTTTTTATCATCTTTATTTTTTTATATTTTGTTTATTTATATATATATATTATTATATATTCATATAGGAGATGCGTGATGATACTTCTAGTCTTAAATAATTGTGCTTTTTTTTTTATTTTATTTTATTTTATTTATATGTATCTCATGCTGCATATAATTATTATTAAAACAGTGTCATATGTTAAATACGATATAATTCATTTGATTATTATGAAATAAATTGACAAATTTTGTTAAGTTAGCAAGGAATGATTTTGAAGGAAAAAAAAAGGAGTTTATGTGCAAATTTTATTATTTGCTAAATGCGTGATAGATCTTAACAAAAAAAAAAAAAGAAAGAAAATAAAAGTATCGGTTAACATACACATACATACACGCACGTATATATTATCCTAAATGCAGAATGAAAGATATCGATTTAATAATTCTGTTGTATTTATATATTATATATATATTATATATATTATATATATATAAGATTACTATAATTATGATGATTTAACTTATAATATGCCGATGAAACGAACGCGCAAAAAAAATACGTGCAAAAAAAAAAAAAAAAAAAAAAGGAAGAATAATAATAAAATAATAATAATAATTGTTCCCTGGTGTTGCAAAATAGATATTAATTAATATCTTAGGCGATGCACACATTGGTATTGAAACAATGATTTTTCTAGGAAAATGCGCAATATAACATTTTAAATTAGGAAAAAAATTTAAAAAAAAAAAAGGATAAATTTATAATGACTATCACAAAGAATATTAACAAAAAAAGAAAAAAATTAGAAAAAGAAAAAGAAAGAAAGTTTTCGTCAAGAGATATGATTGTCGTAAATTCTTTTAGCACGTTTTTGCAACTTCGTACGCGTAACGCACATAAACACACACACACACACACACATACACACACATACGAAATACGTTCTAAGAAAAAAAGGATAAATAGTTTTAACGAGAAGGATATACGTATCAAGTATTAAATTATAATATTTAGTAATTTAGTCGTAAAAGAATAAAATAACATATAGAAAGAAAAAACTGACACGAAAGAAAGAAAAAAAAAGAGAGAGAAGAAAGACGATACGGTGGAGTGGATTTGATATCAGATAATTACAGTTATTTCCTGTATATCTCTCGGATGTGGTCAAGTGGTAAACTTTTTATACACACATTTGTATCTCGTAGCAATGCATTTATTTTCAAATATATGTATCTAAGAAGAGAAAGGAAAAATATCTCGCCCGACATTTTCTTAAAATACAATATATAAATACACATGTATATCATAAATATATATATGCATACACAGTGTATTTGAATGAGGAGAGTGGGACTCTCTTTTGATATACAAGAATTTTTCACATTGGTGTGAGTCGTGAGTTGTTTGATCTACATATTTGTAAACGATATTATGGTGCTATAGTACATTTGATAAATTCTTATTTATTATAGCCCTGAGTGAATTGCAATTATCCCAGCTATTGTCTAACACATACATACATACATACATACATACACTAAACACATGGATAAATATATACTTTCGTATCGTCGAATTAATATATACGAGTGCTTATAATAAAAAGATAAAAATAAAAAAACAAAAAAATAAAAAAAAAAAAAAGATAATAGACCATAATTAAACAATATCTCAGAAATTACCTAGGGCACAGTATTTTATGCTAATTCTTTAAAAAAAAAAAATAAAAGATAGAAAAAAAGAAAAGAATATCCAACGAGGTGCCAAAAGAAAATATATTATAAAGACTTGGTATTTAAAACTAAAAAATAAAAAAAAAAAAAAAACTAAAGAGAATAAAAATGTAATGACGGGCTAGTAATTATGTGTTAAAAAAGAATTGACGATGCAGTTTATAATTATATATAAAAAATACACACACCTTTGCAGGCATGTACACACATATTCACACGGTATTTAAATTTACTATCGAATTTTTGGTGAAAGTGACGAGTATATATATTTACATACTATATTATATTTTTCTCTATCATACGAGATCGCGTATCTTTCTCAGTCCTGTTTATATTTTTAGAAACTTTAAGGTGGTAATTTTACAATCGACGATATTCAAATTAAAAAAACTAACTATTCACATTGTCAATCACGAGAAGAAACTATAATTGTGTCGTCCATATATTATTATAAGTAATTCAATCTTTTTCTATTCTTCGTACGAAGTAACCATCCATGAAAAAAAAAAAAAAAAAAACCAAAAACTAATCTCCGTAGTGTTGAGAGAAAAAAAAAGAAAAAGAAAAAATGGAAAATGAAGAAGAAGAAAAAGGGGAAAAAAAAAATGTGTTTTCGGCAAAAAGTTCAAGAGGTTAGGAAAACGTCATTGGTGCNAAAAAAAAAAAAAAAAAAAAACCAAAAACTAATCTCCGTAGTGTTGAGAGAAAAAAAAAGAAAAAGAAAAAATGGAAAATCTACTCAATTTATATTAGTCCGTATGAATGAATTTTTTCAGTTATTATTTTTCTATGCCATTATACTCTTTTCCTTGTAATATTGTATTTAAATATCATATATGCATATAACTTATTGTTAGATCTCTGTATTTCGATTGCTGCACAGCTTATGTATGAATAATTAATTATACTTTCTCGTCAATGAAAAAAACATTTTCATTGTGGTGTAGTATAAACCTACTCTCTCTCTCTCTCTCTCTCTCTCTCTCTCTCTCTCTCTCTCGGAAAACAAAAAAACTCGCGTGAGCGTTTTTTTGAATCATATATTAAAAAAAAAGAATAATAATAATAATAATAATAAAATACAGAAATTTATCGGTCAACCTTGTGCGCTATGTCCAATAGTTATTTAAGTAATTCTATCATGTAGTAACATACCTTTATATCGATCTTATACCTTCTATGTATATCATCTATAAAACCTTTTTACCAAATATGTAAATTGCATTTTCGACTTTTACCTTTTATTCGTCATTTAGTCATATATGTAATATTTATTTAATATATTTTCAACTTCAGGAAACCTAATCGCGAGCTTATTGCATCGACGAAAGGACCATAAAGTATGAGGTGGATGTTTGCACGACCTTAAAGAAAAGAAAATTAATGCATATATATGTAAATGCTAATAAAATATCTTATGGCACATTTACATATCTTCTCTTCATTTTGTGTGTGTGTTTTAATTATATAATTAATTAATATTTTTATATTCTTACCGTCGAGAAAGTTTCTAAACAAAATACGAATATTTTTCCTGCGGTTAAATAAGATGGTTTAAGGCTCCTTCGAATAATAAGCAAAATCATTTTACGTACTACCATTGGCGCATCGTACCATAATCCACTATATCTGAATAATTTATTAATATATTTTATATTTTTGTATAATTTAAATATATCTAATAAAAAAAAAAGTATTCATTTTATTTTTTATCGACTGAGTAACGTTGTTACCATCAAATATTATTAAATGGTTTCCTTACTTTTCGGATAGATGGCATTCGCAAACAACGTTACCGACAACATTGAAAAATATCTTATCTCTTTTAAAAAGTGTAGTATATATGATAATAAATAAATCATTTTTATTTTAACTCACGCTTTAAAACAAATATCACTGCTATGATCAATTATTCTTTGCCCGACAAAACTAATACAATAGACATGGAAAAGTTGAGCCAATGTAAATGCTGCAAATTTCAATACTTCCGTTGATTTTCCTAGTAACTCTGCTACCTATGATTTTAATGAAAAATAAATAAAATTCACGAAAACATAATCATTGAATTTTAATAATTAATACATACGCGCAAAAGAGAAACGCTCAAACAAATTATATTCATTCCTGTTATTAATAACGATGGCAATGAAAAATATGATTCCATAATATCGGCGAATCTTCAATATTACAAATAAATTAAAAAAGTTAGATTATAATTATTCGTTAATATATTTTATAGATTTTTATTATTCTTATTTTTATACTAACTCGACAGCTCTTTTGTGTGCATCGATAAGAAGCACGACACTTCGAATACATTCCTTACGTCGACGATTTGGAGACATTTTCTCACAATTGTTTTCCTTTAACAAATGTTCTAAGCGATATCTAAAAAGTATGATCAAATCTATTTTCCCATTATCGTTGAAAATTTTTCTTGTAAAATAAATTAATATAAAAATCGAACATTTCTCTCTTACCCAACAGTCGCAAATAAACCGCAAACGTGGGAAGTAAAAACCAAAAAAATGATATCGTTAGCTAGAAAACATGTAATACCAATCATAATAACCGATGTCATGTGAAAATAAATTGGATAAAAGTATTCTTGCGGATCGACAAAGTATTCATTCATAAATACGTGCTGCAACGGACGGGATTCGTTCAATGGCAAAATTAAATCGATGATTTTTGGTACAAACGATACCAAAAAACTTAATATCACAGTTGTGTAGATGTATACTAAACGAAAAAGAGTAAAAAAACTGAATACATTTGATGATACATTTAATATGATGAACATAAAATCTTACTTATGTATCCTATCGTATATAATCTTCCTTCTTTGGCATACTTTTCCATTATAGTTATCTCTTCTTTAGTTTTCCATAACTTCCATTCGTCTTTGATCTTAATTAAAAGGTGTTTTATCTGTGTGAATATAGTTTATTAATAATATTAAAATAAAATAAAATAATTAGTAAATGATATATGTGCGATTAAAATAAAAAAGAAAGTTTATTTTAAATTCTAAAATAATTCTTGACTTAAAATAAATCTCGATAAAAAATATTATTTGATCTATTCGTGAAAAAATATAATAAGACAATTAATTGACCTTATTACCACCGAAGTAACACGCGTGACATTTGATAGAAAGAGTTGTCATAAGTGATATTCCTGCAATAGCATCAGCCATAAATTCTAAAACTCCCTTAGAAGAATACAATAGTAAAATCTGTAATAATGATAATTTAACGAGATCAGCTTATCCGTTAGACGAACAAACCTTTTTTTTTCTTTTATATATTATATCGAATTAAAATAAATCTAAAAATATATTTACCTCGGTGATAATAATAGACGTGGTCAGAGATGTAACAAGACAGAGAGAAAATAAACGAACATTAGGATTTTGATCAGGCCACTGACCTATCATTGATAAAAAAAGTTTACTAACCCTATAGTAGGGAAGATCGAAAATATCCATAGAGTTGTTAAGAAGGCGTAAAACATTCTGAACGAAAGGAGAGTTAGAAAAGAATCGGGCGTATCCTATTAAAATATTTAAACCCTCTTTTCTCCATCTTCTTGAAGAAGTAGTCACGAACTTTTCAAAAGTCAGACGTAAGACAAGTGACTGCAAATTTAATGATCTTCTTTTCTTTGTTAAGTCTTTCCTTTCATTTTCTTCCTTGTGACATTTCCTTTTAATTGTATGTTGTTTCTAAGAAGCACACGCTGTTAGAAACGTGTAATTACTGCTGAGCAAGTTCTTCAGTTTACTTTTTCTTCTTTTCATTTCTGAGATAGATGGAATATGCTATTATTTTTTTTTTTTTTTCATGAAATTAACTGTCAAATCGATCATTTTAACAATCTATAATTAATTTATCTCGCACAGGCGTATAGACGTTAGACAGTAGATCGTTCGAAAAGTTTCAATGTCTTATAACAGTGTTACTTAGCTTTAGTTCATAGAAAAACGATCGTAAAAAACCAACTGTTTAATTAATATGATAAACTATTATTCCAAACTATTTGAATATTAATTTTTCATCGTCATGCTAAATATTTAAATTTTTGGTGAATGAATTTTCTGAACAATATCAAATGTTAAATATTAATATAAATCAGAGTTTTTTTTTGTTTCTTCTTGTTGCTGTTTGCCTATTATATAATTCTAATATTATAATGTGACATATAAAAAAAAAAATGAGAGTGTGATCTATATTAATTTATAATTATTTATATTAATTAATATAAATTATCAGCCCCTGGAGATATGCTACATTCCAGACATCGTTGTTAATATTGCTTGTGCCATCTACCAGTATGATTGAGTATGCAATACCGTCGTACATATCTGTAATCTGTGGTTGCATACTCTGAGGGGACGTTTCATACTGATAGATGGCGCTCACGAGCAACATTATCAACGGTGTCTGGAGTGTTGCATATTTCCAGGAGGTGATAATTTATATTAATTAATATAAATAATTATACCGAATATATATCGTATTAAATAAATGTCATGATTAAGCTTATTGAAAATGATTAGCGATGAGCGTTGAATAGTGTTTAAGAGTTGGTGAAACAATGACATGAGGTACCAACGTACATATATCGTTTATTTACACAAGGTAGATCGTTCTTTTTAGCAATATTATCTTTTTCTTCCTCAACTTATCTTCATTTTCTTATACAATGACGATGCCATGTGAAAATGCGTATGTGTGTGTGTGTGTTTTTGCGTGCATGAAAAATTTTCTGCGTGAGTAAATAATGCCGGCGCGCATAATTTATTTTATGCTTTTTTTTTTTCTTATTGTTTTCCTCTAATAAAAATCAAGTTTATATCTCGCACTAAAATGTATCATGTAATATGTTTTAATGTATTTATGTATGCATGTAAATATGTGTGATCGGCTTAGCGTTTGATAAAAAATTTTCTTTTATATTATTATTTTATTATTTGTTAATTACTTTTTTTTTTCTTTCTATCTTTCTTTCTTTCTTTCTTTCTATTTTTTGTGAAGAAGGACTAGATGAGCGGATGATCATTTATGTATATATATATTATTTTGTTGTTGTTGTTGTTGATTATCAATGTGCTTATTGATATCTCCTTTCCATTTCTCTTACAAGTCTTTCATCGAATCTTTGTCACATTTCGTTTATGAAGGAAGTAAATTTCGGGGATACGAATTGCGTGGACCGTTCGTCATTTTTGTTGAAATCTTGTGTAAGTCTGTTTTTTTTTTTTTT